GTGCCAGGGCGGCAGACCGGGATCCGCATCGGGATCGGCTGGAAGTGCGGGATCCTACAGCGGAAATTCGGGATCTTCTGGAAATTTGGGATCCTACGGAGGAGATTCAGGATCCTACAGCGGAAATTCGGGACCCTACGGGGGAAATTCGGGATCTTCTGGAAATTCGGGATCCTATGGGGGATTGGGATCCTATGGCGGAAATTCGGGATCCTACGGATCGGGATCCTCTGGAAATTCGGGATCCTATGGGGGATCCGGCCCAGGCTCCTACGGATCTGGATCAGGGAGACCGGGATCTGGAAAACCCGGATCGGGCAGGCCCGGATCCCAAGGGGGGAGTGGATCCCAAGGGGGAGGCGGATCCGGCTCCTACGGGGGATCCTCGGGATCCTACGGGGATGACGTGGGATCCTACGGAGGGTCGGGATCCTACGGGGGATCCTCGGGATCCCAGGGCAGACCGGGATCCTACGGGGGCGGTCCAGGATCCTATGGGGGATTAGGATCTTATGGGGGATCCTCGGGATCCTATGGGGGATCGGGATCTCAGGGCAGGCCAGGATCCTACGGGGGTGGTCCAGGATCCTATGGCGGATCGGGATCCTATGGAGGGTCAGGATCCCAGGGCAGGCCAGGATCTTATGGAGGATCCTCGGGATCCAAGGGCAGACCGGGATCCCACGGCAGTGGTCCGGGATCCTACGGCGGATCGGGATCCCAGGGCAGACCGGGATCCTATGGGGGAATGGGATCCTACGGGGGTGGATCGGGATCCTATGGAGGGTCGGGATCCCAGGGCAGACCGGGATCCTACGGGGGAGGTCCGGGATCCTATGGGGGAATGGGATCTTATGGGGGATCCTCGGGATCCTATGGGGGATCAGGATCTTATGGAGGCAGACCGGGATCCTACGGGGGAATGGGATCCTACGGGGGATCCTCGGGATCTTATGGGGGCAGGCCGGGATCCTACGGGGGAATGGGATCCTATGGGGGATCGGGATCCTCTGGAGAAGATTCGGGATCCTCTGGAGGCTCTGGATCCTACGGGGGCAGCCCAGGATCCTTCGGGGGACCGGGCTCCTACGGGGGGGACTCTGGATCCCTGGGGGGATCCTTCGGGGGATCCCGGCAGCGCCCCGGCTACAAGAACCCCGGGATCCCCTTCGTGCCGGGGCTGCACCACCCCGCCCGCCTCGGGGGGCGCTTCCCCATCCGCCGGGGGCCGGGATCCGGCCAGGGATCCGGCCTGGGCTACGGCCAGGGATCCGGGCAGGGATCCGGGCAGGGATCCGGGCAGGGATACAGCCAGGGATCCGGTCAGGGATACAGCCAGGGATCCGGTCAGGGATCCGGGCAGGGATCCAGTCAGGGGTATGGTCAGGGATACAGCCAGGGATCTGGTCAGGGATACAGCCAGGGATACAGCCAGGGATACAGCCAGGGATCCGGTCAGGGCTATGGCCAGGGATCCGGTCAGGGATCTGGTCAGGGATACAGCCAGGGATCCGGTCAGGGATCCGGTCAGGGCTATGGCCAGGGATCCGGTCAGGGATCTGGTCAGGGATCCGGCCAGGGATCCCGCCAGGGATCTGCCCTGGGATCCGCCATGGGATCCGGCCAGGGATCCGGTCAGGGATCCAGTCAGGGATCCGCCCTGGGGTCTGCCATGGGATCCAGTCAGGGATCTGGTCAGGGATCCGGTCAGGGATCCAGGGCCGAGCCCGAGCTGGGATCCAGCTCCGGGGGCGGGGGCGGGGATGGGTGCGGGGGGTGCCGGAAATAGGGGAGGGGTCCCGGGGGATCCCGAAGATCCCAAAGGATCCCGGAGGGTCCCAAATAAAGTCTTGGATCCACCCCCGGCCTCGCCACTGTCCCCAAATGTGGTGGGGGACTGGGATGGGGAAACTGGGGATACTGGGGGGACTGGGGGGGACTGGGAATACTGGGATGGGAACACTGTGGATACTCGGGATACTGGACTGGGAATACTGGGGATACTGGGGGACTGGGAACACTGGGGACACTGGACTGGGGATACTGGGGATACTGGGGATACTGGGGATACTGGGGGGACTGGGAACACTGGAGGGACTGGTGGGACTGGGATGGGAACACTGGGGATACTGGGAATGGGATGGGGACACTGGGAACACTGGGGATACTGGAGACACTGGGAATGGGAATACTGGGAATACTGGGATGGGGACACTGGGAATCAGGGCACTGGGCATACTGGGAATGAGGTGGGGGCACCCATGGGGATACTGGGGAAACTGGAGACACTGGACTGGGGATACTGGGCATACTGGGAATGGGATGGGGATAGTGGGAACACTGGGAATACTGGGATGAGGACACTGGGATCACTCTCAGTCCTGTCCCCTCCCCCCCTTCCATGGGCTCCCAGTATAGCCCCGCCCCCAAACCAGCGCTCCCAGTCTGGCCCCGCCCCCAAACCAGCGCTCCCAGT